GGTCTTTGATATGCTAATTCGGAGGTTTGAAAAAGCCAACGTTTACTCATCTGCTAAGGGAGAACAACCGGTTCGTTGATGCACTAGCAACTTTATCTTCTATGGTAGACATTCCATTGAGAGTCGGGATGCATCCGATCATTATTGAACAGAAGTACACACCGGCCTATGAAACCATTGCCACAGTAGATGAGGCTTCAGACAAGAACCCCTGGTAGTACGATATCTAGAATTTCTTGGAAAAAGGAGGCGTATCCACCAGGAGCAAATGCCAAGGACAAAAGGGGAATATGGCATCTTGCTGTCCAATTCATCATTTGAAGGGGCAAGCTGTACAAAAGAGGCTATCTAGGAATGCACAAGCTATGTATTGAAGAAGAAGAATCAAAGCGCCTTATAGAGGTCATTCACGGAGGAGAGTGCGGAGCCCACATGAATGGTGTGATGCTCGCCCGAAAAATCCTTAGACATGGCTATTACTGGTCAACAATAGAAGAGGAGTGTATTGGTTTTGTTCGGTGCTGTCACAAGTGCCAGATTCATGCCAATCGCATGAACATTCTGCCGTCGAAGCTCTACAACATGACTTTACCATGGCCATTCTCTTTTTGGGAGGATGGACGTTGTCGGCGCAGGCACGCCAAAAGGCTCAAATAGGCATGAGTTCATTCTGGTAACAATTGACTACTTCACAAAATGGGTGGAGGCTCAGTCCTACTCTGTATTGAAAGCATCGCATGTGGCTAAGTTCATCAAAAACAACATCATATACCGGTATGGGGTGCCCAATGACATTATCTCTGATAATGAGTGGCACTTCAAGAAAGAGGTGATAGACTTGCTTGAGAAATATAACATGGCTTTCCATAAGTCATCAACCTATAGGCTGCAGACCAATGAGCTAGCGAGACTGGGAACAAAAATATCAAGAGAATTCTACAGAAGATAGTGGAAATCTACAAGGATTGGCCAGATAAATTGTCATTTGCGCTCTGGGGCTACAGAACCTCGATCCAAACATCTACAAGGGCAACCCCTTATTCTCTCGTCTACGCTATGAGTTATGGCCGAGTGTTAAATAGCAGAGACAGATTGGCAGCAACGTAGGTTTGAGGAGTTAATGTTGTTTAATAAAAGAAGACTAAGAGCACTGTATCATGTCCACGGCTACCAACGCAGAATTGCTAAGGCTTTTAACAAGAAAGTGAAGTCCAGAAATCTTCAAGAAGGGGACATGGTACTGAAAGACAACAGAGCTCTCATTCATGACCCTAGGGGCAAGTTCAAACGCAACTGGACTGGTTCATACATCATCAAGTCAATCTGGTCAGGATGAATGATTATTCTTATGGATTTGGATGGCCTGGAGTTCTCACATCACAATCGATCAATATGGACAAGTTGAAGAAATACTACCCCTGAGAGGCTCGCCAGGCTGAAAACCCGAAAGGGTGACCTAGGCAAAAATTAGAGCATGAAAAATTAGAAATAAATAAAAACTGAGCTCGTAAGGTTGAAAACCCGAAATGGCGACTTTGGCAAAAATTAAAGTGCAAAAGGAGAGTGTTAATACTCAAGTGAACCTGAACCGAACTACGTAAGGCTTGATTCCTATTTTTGAGATACATAGGCAACTTTATCCCCAAGTTTGGCCATAACTATCCCCAATTCAACTATCCTATCCATTTTCTTGATCAGGTCATTTTTGTTCACTATCTATTAGTTCGGTTGTGCTCTTTATTTCGGGAAGAAAAGATGATTACATTGTAGAGAAGCAGGGATATGTAGCCAGGGGCTGTTACTATTTCTTTTGATTTGGGACTGTACATCTTGAAAATCGATTCTGTGCGTGTCAAGTGGTGATCATTTCCAAAAATTGTTTTGAAGAGTTTTAATAAAAGTTGATTTTGTTCAAAATTTTACCATTTTACAACTTGGACCATTTTTGGGACCAAAAAGAAAATTTTCAGTACTCGCAACTTTAATTTTATTGATTTCAACACAAGTACATTCTCCAACTCTTTGATTTAGATCAAAGTTGCTTTTTACGTCTTAAAACTTGAAAAGAAAGATCAAAGTAGTAAAACTAGGGGCACAGCTATGTCAGGTGACTCTATGCCAAAGACGGCCCAACCTCTGCCTCTTCTTCAAGCCAAGCCAAACACTCCTCAGACAGGGTGTAACTAAAACTAATGACAGGGGCCAGAATCTAGCTCGTCCTCCATGCTGCAAGATACCGCGGCAAGTGCGAGGCATGAACTGGAAATGAAGTTATGTTTTCCACTCTCTCATCTGGTCATATCTGATCATGCTCGAACTGGCGTCAGAACCGGAGAGGAAAATAGAATACGCAATGTGTAAGGCCCATCAACTCTACACCCGATTGCCAGGACATGCTGTAGCTCATCTTAGCTAAATTAAATTAGGGGCAACGCCAAGTTATGTCAACAGCGAGCTGGCTGCATATCCAATCACACCATAAACCCTCTGAGGGGAAATCCACTAGCCGTTGACGAAAAAAGTAAGCTTGGTCTGAATACTCGAGGCATGGAGCCACTACTTGCTATTTATCCATAAGCTATACCTGGGGAGGGATGAAAAATAAGAGAGATTAAAGAATAGAGACGTGTACGATGAGAGAAAAGTAAAGAATGGGTTATTAGAGAAAAATAGAGAATGAGTGTTGAGTGATGTAAGAATTATAAATTAGAAGGGTGGAAAATAATACCTGGAGAAGTAGCGGATTCCTTGCCAGGCAAGTGGTCTCTCCTCGACGGAAAGCATCTAAACCCATCAAGGTTTCGGCTAGTGCCAAACCCATGCAACTCTTGCCCTTTTTCAGACGTTGAGCCACTTCTATCAACTGGATGCTAGCTCCGTCGAAACTAGGGGCAAGGAGGAATTGTGCAAGAAGGCATAAACAGAGAGCATGTTGTCGTCGACTTCTCCAAAGAAGGTCACTCCTATCTACAATAACGGAAAATCGATTAACTAAACCGGGGGTGTCTAGCTCTCCGTCATGTGCCAAAGACCTAGCCTCCTGTAATGTTAACCCACACATCCGTCCCAAAGCTTGGGTATGGCCAAAATGGGGCTACGGTATGATTTCTTTATCGCACCAGGACTCCATTAACGCTCGAAATTCTTCAAGTGTCGGACACACCTCTTATGATTCGAATTGAAACACATGTGTGATTGGGTTCCAACATTGAACAGCAACGTATAGGAATGGAAAGCAAAAAGAAGTGCAACTTAGAGGAAAAAGGGCGTTTAGGTCAAAACCGTAAAAATTCACATTTTTCGAGCCGTCCAAAGTGGAAATCCAGTCTTGGAGCCTATTATTTCATAATGTTTCCATTTTGACAGCAAAAATATCAAAAACTTGCTATTCCATCAGAAAAATAGCATAGGAGCATCATTTATAAAGGATGAGAAGGAGCAGTGCATGACAGCTGGGCAACATTGACCAACCTCACACTTAGGCCCAGCTGTGCCTATTTATGCCCGGCCGAGTCTAAATGATGGCTCAGATCAGTGCAGTTGCAGGAAAAGCTGACATGTGCCTTGGCGTACCACAGTTGTATTTTGAGTCTTGTTTTGTTTATACCAAGTGTTTTTTAGTATTTTCAAGTTGTTTTCATTTTGTTTCTCTATTATCTAGTTGTATTTTACATTTTGTCTGGTTATGGGTAGTTATCTGATTCAAGAATGAATGCAAGAGCAGATATTTGTTGTTTTAAGTCCTATGTGAAGTTACCATGCAAGGGTTATGCCATTCATCACATGCAAATACCATTCATCACATGCAAATACCATTCATCACATTGTGCAGTGAAATCATTCAACAAAAACTGGTCTTTTATAACTAGCGGGTCCAACCCCGATCATCGTTTTATAGAGCAACAAAACAAAAGAAAATCCTTCAAAAAAAACAAAAAAAAAAAAAGAAGAAGCAAAATAGTCTATCTGAAGCTAGTCATTGAATACAAAGAAAAAACTAAAACTAAAACAAAATCATCGTCCTCATCAGTAACCTATCCTCACCCTCTTCCTCCTTGGCTATGGAGGAGGTGCATCACTATCCTTGCTGGGGCTACTAGACTGCAAGTCAACCTCATCTCCCTCATCCTCGGGGGTCGCAGACTCATCAAAAGACTCCTCAGAAGATAAGCGCTGCCTCACTCGGCCTCTCCCTCGATCGGCTCTGCCTCCCCCTGTCACTGGACCCCGTCTCTGTCTACTAGTCGAAGGAAGTCCTGTAGGGAATGCTAGGGCCGGCTCAAGCTGAAAAGAGTACAAGTATCAGTATGGACTAACAGAAGTATAAACAGTATGGCAACAATAGTGAACTACAGATAGAATGTACCTCGATCCCATGAGTGACTAAGGCTGTTTGCCTCCTCCGTACCATAAGGAGCAGTCAGTCGATCGTCCGGAGGAGGTCATCCGCATACGCCCAGGGTATCTGCAAAAGGAATAGAATTTGAGATGGGTAGACAAAAGTAACAGAGAACAATGAACAGAAATGGTAGAAAACAAAAAAAAGATAAAGTGCAGTATGGACTAGCATAAAGAAATGTGTACCTACTCGATGCCAGGAGCAAACACCAGCTTGCGATCCCTCTCCTCGATGCGCTCAATCGGGATCTACTTGATCACTCCATCTGGACGTATGTAAATGATCTCAGTGGGAGTCACAGGAAACCCAAGAATGGGAACAACGGTAGGGGCACCTCTAACAGGGGCATCACCCGTCACAGCAGCAGCAGTAACCTCCAGTACAACGTGAACCACGCCTGGGGTAAGAAGCGCCATCGCCCGAGTGTGTAAGAAGGTAGTGAAGTCGCCAGGCTCGTGATGTTGATCACCATCCTCGCCCAACATCAAGAGGTTGATTTGAGGATCGTCTTGCAGCTCATCAACTATCCTTATGACTGGAGGTGGAAGATGTGGACTATCGGGGTCAGTGACGCCCCGCGTTTGGTGGATGAACCTATCCCCTAGGTAGTAAGCTCGGCCAAAGGGGCCCTCGATCCGTATGGTGGAGGCATGCTATCCCGCAATGTAGGTCGTCCTCGATGCCTAGTTAATGCCCACTTAGTGATGCCGGTCAACCTGTAAAAGCAGACGTCAGATGTCAAAAATCAGTGCAGTATGGAAATAGTAGTGCAGTATAGAAGTAACAATATAAGAATAACCGTGTAGTGTGGGAAACAATGCAGTTTGCTTACAGCATATAAAAGGTAAATGTTGATATTTTGTTACCTAATATTTTGTTACATGATCCGCAATGATCGTGTCAAAGAAACGGTGAAAGTAGGAGAAATCTCGGTCTACGCGATGATGACGCTCAAATCAAGAGTTGTGGTACCAGGAGTGGGGTACTGACAACTCAATCAGCCTCACCGGGACCGGAGCCAAAGAGGTGAAGTATGTATAAACCCAGAGCTGCAAACAGAAAAAGATGAATGAAGTAAATAAGCAGAAAATGAAATGCAAAGATAAGCAGAAAATGCAGAATGAACAGAATGCATAGAAAAGATAAGTGTGAGGCAAACCTCCCAAACCCTCAAGTAACCGCCGAGTGAATCCGCCTTGCGGCAGGAGACAAAACTCATGTAGTAGTGTAAGGTGGCCAGACCAGCACCACCCCAATCGTACTCTGTCACTTGGGGGAGGTGCACCAGTGCCCCCAGAAGGTATAACCGCATGGTATTTTCCTGGTTCGCAAATAGGGTAGTATCGAGAAGATGCATGAGGAAGTCACGGGTGTGCTGGGTGACCTCATCTGTAGTAGTGGGCTGGGACTCAGAGAAATGATCGTAAAACCAACTGTACCTCACCATCCCATGACTGGTGATGTCCGAGATCGCCTTGAGAAACTGACGTTGTGCGGCTCTCCACTGCGTCATGTCAGGATCATATGGGATCGGGCCACCAACTCTAACCCGCAGGTTGGTGAGCATCGAAAAATCGTATGGGGTCAGAGTCAACTCCCCGATCGATGAGAAGTGGAATGAATCTGTGGTGTCCCACCATCTCTCGACCAGGACCCCGTACATCAATGTCTCAGCCCTCATTTGTATGAGCCCTGAGCAGAAGGGCCCAAAGCCGGCCGTATCAACTAGTGCGCAGGCCTCCGCAGGCAGTCTCTTATACTAGTGCCGAGGGCCAGATATGGATCTGTATCCGCCAATCATCCTGGCTATCACCTGCAAATGGGAAATATATGGCATTTAACTAGTGATCTACTTGTGAGATTCAATAATGTATCCAAACAAAGGAAGGTTGCTTACCATGGAAGTATCGGCGGACAAGTGCTTCGTGGGTTCTCACAACAAGATATCCTCATCTATCTCGGGGATGAAGCCCTCGAATCACAAAATACCACCCGGGGGTGAAGCATGTGTGCGTGGTCGGTAGGTAGCCACATCAAATGGCCTATCAATGAGAGAAGGCAACACGGGAGCATCCTCAACCTCCATATCTGCGCCCAGGGCAGCCCCAATACCAATTACGGGGTCTGAGATGGAAACTTCGTTACTGGCCATGGAGAAAAGTGGAGGAAATGAATTGAAAGCAAGAAAAATATAGGGGGCTAAACCCTAGGAGAGAGAAAATGAGAGGGAAAAGTGAAAACACGAGAGTGAGAATACAAAAAATAAAGAAAATCCATGAGAAACAAGTTAAAAATAATGAGAAACCCCAAAAATTGACCGAATCAAAATCCAATCAGTTTAAAATATAGAGGAGGGGAAGGGTTTCGAAGAAAAAATGGCGAGGGTTATTAGGTATTGCAAGGAAAAAGGAAATCTAGAGAGAAAGGGAAGCTAGAGAGAAAGATGAAGGAGTTTCAGATGAGAGGGTGTGAGGAAATAGGGTTTGAGTTTGTTTTAAACAAACATATCGCATGGAATGCCAGAAACTTCCCGTGCCGCTATCGAGGCCCAGCCGACAGTCGCGATGCCTGGCCGTGCTTCGTTGAGGCCCAGTCGACTCTTAATGTTAACTCAACCCAGTTTTGTGTTTTCTCTCTCTCTCTCTCTCTCTCTCTCTCTCTCCCTCTTCCTTTTTATTTATTATTAATTTCTTGTATTATGGAATTTCAAGAAAAACAAAAAAGAAAACCAAAAAAAAAAAAAGTTGAAAAAGAAAAGAGAAAGGAAAAACAGAAATAAAAGAGCAAAAAAATAAAAGAAAGCAAAAAAAAGAAAAGAAAAGAAAAGAAAAATATGAAAAGAGTGGAAAAGAAAAGAAAGAATTTTTGTTCATTCGGATTTATTGTATGAATGCATAATTTGATTCATAATTTGTTTGTTTTAACTCATAGTTTAAGTCGTAATTTGATCTGTTTAAATTTGTTTAAACTGTTCTGTTAGTTTATAAATTGTTTTGCCTAAATTGTCTGTTCTGTTATATCATAAACAAACGATATTGTATGTACGGTTCATTCAGAGGAGTTCCAGATAAATCATTCGTGCCACAGTAAAATCATCATCCATCTCACAATCACATTGAAACATGGTGCGTTATGTTCATTGTTTCAACACATTGGCAAATTAGTTTTCGCTTTACTACAATGCTTTGATTGTTTTTATTTTACTTATGCGATTTGTTTGTTCTTTTACCAATCTAACCTTTCCTCCTCTCGCGTGTGACGTATTCGGATTGTATCCTCGGTTAAAAACAACGGGTGCGCCCGGTGTTCACACCACCTTTCTTTCTCTCGTGTGTGACCCGTTAAGATTGTACCCCTTGTTTAAAAACATCGGGTGCGCCTGGTGTTCACACCATCTTTCCTCCTCTCGCGTGTGGTGCATTAGGATTGTACCCTCGGTTAAAAACATCGGGTGTGCCCGGTGTTCACACCACCTTTCCTCCATTCGCGTGTGATACTTTAGGATTGTACCTTTCGGTTAAAAACATTGGGTGCGCCCGATGTTCACACCACCTTTCCTTCGCTCACATGCAACGCATTAGGATTGTACCCCTCGGTTAAAAACATCGGGTGCACCCGGTGTTCACACCACCTTTCCTCCTCTCACATGTAATGCGTTAGGATTGTATCCCTCAGTTAAAAACATCGGGTGCACCCGGTGTTCACACCACCTTTTCTCCTTTCGCGTGTGACGCGTTAGGATTGTACCTTTGGTTAAAAACATTGGGTGCGTCCAGTGTTCACACCACCTTTTCTCTTTTAGCATATGATGCGTTAGGATTGTACCTTCGGTTAAAAATATTGGGTGCGCCCAGTGTTCACACCACCTTTTCTCCTCTCGCGTGTGACGTGTTAGGATTGTACCTTTGGTTAAAAACATCGGGTGTGCCTGGTGTTCACACCACCTTTCCTACTTTCGCATGCAACACGTTAGGATTATACCCTCGTTAAAAACATTAGGTGCGCCTATTTGTTCACACCACCCTTCATTCTCTCGCGTACAATGCGTTAGGATCTCGGTTGAGACCTCGGGTGCGCTCGATGGCTACGTCGCCCTTCCCCCTTTCTACACGAGGTGTAGTTAGGTCTACAGTTTCTTATATCCTTTCTATATGAGACGTAGGTTGGTTTGTGCTTTCTTTGTATTTTTCACGCGAGGCGCGCCTGTTTATTCATTTCTTTCCGTACGAGACATGGAGAGGTTTGTTTTGCTTTGATTTACATTATGTTTCATTGCATTTATTCATTTCATGATCATAAGTTATTTGCTGCATTGCATGTCACATTTTGCTCTTGAGTTCAATCTTTGCATTTATGTCTTGATTTTTTGCCCGAGCCTTGTGGCCTTGTCAAATAGGTCGTCTCTGGGCTTTAACCTTCACTCATATCACTTTATGACTTCGAGCTCTGTAAAGAGAGGCAACTGTGGACACCCCATTTTTTTATCGCCCGCAAGGCTCGAGCGCTTTGTTTGGTACACTCGATAATAAAAGTGGTGTTGTGTATGGTTCGAGGTCTCAACGAAGGGGCCATGTTTTAAGCTCCGAAACAATACCAAACCTCGCATATTCCCACTGATTATACCCAAGAAATCCATTTTTACATATCATGCCACCCTATGCTGAGGCTGAACCAAAAAAACAGGGGAATGCATTGAGGCCCGACCGTGCCTCATTGATGACCGACCCCTCTCGTACCTAAGCCCCTGAGCCAAGACACTTTGGTGATGACGGACTAATGACCTTTGGCACCAATCTCAAGTTTCCTAAATTTTCCAAAAATATTTAGGTGGCGATTCTAAAATCTGGCAAAGTAGTCCATTTTTGACATTTGATTTAAAATATCGATTTTCCATAAAGAATTCCCGAATTTGATTCTTTTAGTGTTTTCAGTATTTCACATTGCACTTGTGAAATCAGATTCTGAACCACTGGTGGAGTCCGAATTGTAGGGCTATTCGCCCTCTGAAAGGAACGCGGAAAGTCGAGCTACATCATGCTAATCACAATGATATAGTAAATTTTGGTTTATGTCGCCTCTACGACCCTCAATTTCAAATTATTACAGGAAGTAGAACAGGTTTTCCTACGGTGGACAGATATAACTTCAAATTCACATATAATCACATGATTAGCATTGAAATTCATATCAAACACATAATCACAAGCATAATTAAAGGTTAACAAGATAACACAAAACAGGGTTGTCACATAACAAATCATCAGCATTGGAAGCATCTGTTGCCAACACAAAAAATTGACCATCTGAAAATTTGTTTGTCTTTTTCGTTTTTTGTTTTTTTATTCCTTGGTGCCATCCAGGTTCACCAAGAGGAAATAGCAATGGATATTGTAGTGGATCATAGCATCCATAATAATACCAAATTCTTTCAAAATGACGTTGATGTTTTTGGACAATGATATTAAGCTCTCTATACCCAACAACTTCATCATTCTCATGCCATATTGCAGCAACTTGGAATGCAATAGGAGGATTAAAAGTTCGGGGATCTAAAGATAGATCAGCACAGATAAGTATATGATGAGTGTCTAGGTCAGAAACATCTCTTAAACTTCTAAAGAATACAAAATATGGATTTAAAGCGACAATATCAATTAGAAGAGCAATGATGTTCAGATCTAGATTGTCTGCAATCCTTATCCTATTCTGAACTTCGTGTTCAGTGTCAAAGAAATAGAACCATAAGTAAGAAGGTTTATGATCTGAAGGATAAAGCTAATTGATATAATGATAAACCTATCTTTGCACACAAAACTTATAGATTCCTCTATTTCTACACCCTAATTGTTTGTCAGTGGTAACCCCGAATGAAGTGAAAGCAAATGAATTATTATAGGCATGAATGGACTTCAAGAAATGAAGAGAATTTTTTGAATGACCTCTAAACAAGTCATATAATTGAGATGGAACAACATTGGGACATACTACAATTTCCCCAACAGAACAACAAAAACCATCTCGCTCGAGATCTATTTTTTTTTTGCATTATAGAAAGAACAACATGGTCTATTTGGTAAAACAAAGGCTTCAACTAGTACATCTCTTTCGATTCTCTTCTTCTTTCTACAGCGTAGAACAAATCCTATGTAGAGTATAAATAGAATTTAACAATTATTTTCTATCCAGTTGGGTGTATAATAAAAAAAATAATAAGAGAAGTTATTTAAGTACCATCTTCAGTGTTAGTGGTTGTGTTATTTTGGAAATCATTAATACCTATATAAGATAAATGTATGATGTCATAATAAGAAAGACTAATTATTATAGTTGAAGAATAAAATAAAAACTCTATGATGATCTATACACTACAGAACTGTTGTTTCATCAAGTGTGCTGGATATATAACCTAAGGATTAGGAGGGAAAAAAAATGTAATTATACATAAGTAATCGAAAAAGAAAGAGTGAAAGCGGTTGCTATCTAATAAGGAGGAATGAATTTTATCTCTAATAAAGACTCTAAAAAAATTATATCTATTTCAAAGGTGCTATGATTGATGGTTACTCCTTCAAGACTAATTTGGGAAGGTTTTGAAAAAATTGATGTAAGAATAGGACGTTCAGATATTCCCAATGGTTCATATTCAAATAAATTGCTTGATTTATTGATGTGGCGTGTTTT